CAATTTTACATCAAGCTGGCGCGCTTAATCTCCTTTAACCTCGGCACTTAATACCCTGAGGTATCAGAACCACCCGCTGCACCACCCTGCTCCACCCAACTTCTGACCCTGACCCAACCTTGCACCGTCAGTCAGCCGAGTGAATGCCTGGCAGCTCGCATTCGGATCTCCACTATCATCGAATCTTCTATCGGTGACACCACCGATCGATCGATCGATTGAACCGCCCTGACTCTGACTTGCACCACTGAACCACCGAACCGAACCAAAACCAAAACGAACCAAGCCACCGCGGGCAAATAGAGCATAGCCATGCCGAATGTTTGGCCAACTGTGTCTGCACAAAAATTTGAAAATGATACTTTGGTGCTCGAAAAAACTTAAAAATATATATTCGTATTCCAAGTTGATATTGAAAGATCAAAGTGCGTTAAGAATTCTACATCCGAGCTTCTTATGCATACTGAACAATCTTTAAAAATACATTTTAAAATGTTGTATTGTTTAAAGATTGTAAAGAAGAAATTATAAGATATTATAATTTTTTGTGATCTTAAAATTTTCAAAAAACCTTATTATTTACCTTAAGTTCTTGTTTCAAAAAGTAGCGATTGGAAATTTATTTCTGAGTAATTATCACGCGGGATGGTCAATGATGTGAGGCACCACCTCGACTTATGCAAATGTGGTGCGTCCTTCTAGCCGGCAACTTATATGCTGCGGTGGGGGTGGAGACTTCTCAACTTCTCAGCTTGACCCACGCCAGTTGGTATAGACTTAAATGCTATAGTTTTCGAAGCATGTGGCGCGAGGTCTTGACATTGTACCTTGAGCATTGTCATGATTTGTTGTCATCAGCGGCTTGCAAATGAAAAGCTGCCAAAGCAAATCAAATGGCAAACAGCAAATAGCAAACAGCAAACGGCTAAAAACTAATAGCAAATTGTTTTGCTTACTTGAAGGCATAGGCATGGCCATCCAGCATCGGAATCGGACGTCTCCACACCCAGTGGGCGTTACACATGTGGTGCACGGTGGTTGTTGCTCTACTTTTTGCTAGATATTTCTCACTCGTGAGTCATTTGTGGGCTGGAGAACTGATGGGAGAATTGACTGGGCCGAGGCGAGTGTTAATGTTTTGAAAATAAAAATAAAAATGAAAAGGAAAAACAAAGCCTGAGGGGCTATGAAAATGCAATTGCACAACAACCAAAATTGATAAACCGAATGACGCGCTTGAGTGGTTGTTGTTGCCCATGGTTGCGCCATGGAAATTCTTGCCAAGGTTCATTTAGCCGAACATGCCTTGCGCCTTGCTTTAATTAAACTTTTGCCCACTAAATGTTTTACTTTTCGAATCGTTGTTCGATGGCTTGGTGGTGCGGTGGTTTGGTGGTGCTGTGGTGTGGTGGTTTCGCCTGCGGTTACCCTTTGAAGTTGCCCAAAACGGGGTGCGAGCCATAAATGAGGCATCCCACCGCCAAACATATGTGGGTGGCTGAGCGATTTGAATCGCATATTGCACAATCTGCTAATTAAAATGTAAGCTACCCATTGAGTTGGGTGGTTCGGAAAATGTGAGTGGAAATCTCAGTGTTCTCGCCTATGACATCTTCTTATATGCCATTTAATGACAGCATTCTGTTGTGAAATTCCATTTAGCAAAATTGCTCTTGCCCCACGTTGGGCGCCAATTATAGTTAACCCTCTCAAGAGGTAGAATTTTTTTAAATTATTTCTTTTAGTTACCAAATCAGTATTTCTTTCCTCTTAATGTTATTATTTTCTTTAAATTTGTATGTCCTTTCCTTTAATTACTTTAATTGTCCCACGTTGGGCGCCAATTAGTGTTGGCCTACACAAATTGTACCGTTTTTTAAATACTGTTGCTTCAAGTAATCCTCACTGCATATCCTACGGCCCAAAGAGTTTCGTTAAACCCCTGGAGTTACCCAATCTTTTGTTTTGTTACCATTATGGCTGCTGCTGCTGCCTGGATGTGGCACTTTGTCATCTTGCAGTGGCATTTCGGAGATGCGAGCACTCAACACCGACACATTGTGGCATGTGGGCGAAGCTTATCTTTTGGCCGAGGGCCCCGAGTCGGAGTTGCCACAAGATAAACATGGCCAAGGTGTCCGCAACTTGAGGCTCTCGCCATAATTACAAGAAGCTGTTGTCGTCGTCGTCTTTTGGCCAGCAAAGCAGCGAGCAACCAAAAATGAAGTTGGACAACAAAAAAATAAAGAAAGAAAATTTACCACTAAGGCAGAAGAGGGAAATACCCTAGAAAACGAAGCTAGCGTTCTATTTAATGATAAGTTTAAGACAACACACAACGAAAGTAAAGTAACCAGAATGTCGAATAAGTAAAATTTGTAAAGAACAATCTATATCGCATAGATATTGCCTTAAAACTTCTTCAAAAACTAGTAATGCCTGATGCAAGGGTATGTAAAGCAGCAAAAATAAAGTTTGCAATAAGTTTTGGCTTACAAATTTGCCAAACAATGCAGATCGCTGGGCACGACGTTGAGCTGGGTCGCTTTGGCTTTGTCTGTGGCTTTTTCTGGACTAGAGACTCTCGACGCTCAACTCTCGACTTGCGATTTGCGATCGGGGACTTGCGACTTCTCGAGTGGCTGATGGAACTCTTTCCCTCGTGTGTGAGTGCCGGCAATTATGGTTGAAGCGACTTGGGGATTCGATCGCACTCGACTCGTGCCACGCGTCCGCATTTACAAGACCAACAAATTATGGGCATCCCGAACCCCTGATCGCCAGCCCTCGGCTCCAATCTCTTCGCATCTCAACAGATCGACTGCCGGATGGAAGGCTCCGGCTCCAGAAGGAGGTCATACCTAGCTGGACTCCTTACTTAACTTGAGCTCATTAAGTACCTCAACGAAATACGGTAAGTTGTTTCAATAACTAAAAGTTGTATCAATCGTTTTTAGGTCACTTCCAAAATCAAATATTATATCCGGAAAAAAATACTTTTTATAGGTTAGGTAGTTTTATAAGCTTTTTAAATAGGATAAATAAAATCTAGAGGTTAAGGACTTTTATAATAATTCCAGATTATTCAAAATTTTAGTCCTGCTTTTAAAAGAAAAATGTATATAAATTACAATACCAAATAGTTATGTCCCAATTTTCATAAGTATATTATCATATCATATTATCAAACTAAAAAAAACCCCTTACTTTTATAATAAGAACTTCACTTTTTTTTTAAAAAAGATTATTTTTTTAGCCATTTTTGCTTAGTGATATTAGCTGGTAACTACGTTCTGCTGTTGCTATCGGCTGACTTTAGTATATGTATATTCAAATCGAAAACAAAGACAAAAAGGGTTCGCTGATCTCCGAAATGGAGCAACATTTTTTCTGTTTTTTCGGTTGTTGTATTTATTGTGAAGTTAAAAAAAACTTTGCAAACTTTTGCGGTTGGCGATTTATTTTCGGTGGTTTTTGTTGTTGTTGCTGTGGCAGGTTCACAACGAACACGACCAGAGTGAAAGAGAGGGATGATGGGGGGAGGGAATCGGGGGGGAATGGAGCGGGACGGGACAGTGGTAACGGGAAACTGTCCAAGTTATCCAGTTATCCATGTGCCTCACGCAGCAGTCGAAACGAGAGCAAAAGTAGCCACCGACATCGCTTGTTTCGGTGCATGTTGCCGACACACTGGGAGAAAATACTTTGAAAACTATTAAAGTTTTTCTATATTTAAAACAAAATTCTACAAACTTATTATGGTTTGGCCAAGTTTAATAAGTAATAAAATAAGTATAAAGAGAGGAAAACAAATAAGGATAATAAATTATATTAATTTTCGAGGCGTTTTTTCCGTATCTTTTTTAGATTCTGCAAAGTTTTTAATCTTTGTATCACATCTAAAAATTGGTAAGTCTATAGGAAACTGGTGAAGAATACTATTTTCTTTTTGTTTTTGTTTATATTTATATTTTCCTTCTTATTCTCTTATATTTATACTATTTTTTTGTCTTGTTCATTTTGCTCAGTGAGCTTTGCTTGCTGCTTTTCGCTTTTTGTTTTCTTAGCAGTTTAGCGCCCGCTGTCCATGATTGTCCCCATGCCCCACTCAGGTAGCCCCCTTCCCTGCCCCTGCCACTCCCCCCGCCCCTCCCCCTTTGGAGGAGTGTGTCCACGTACCAACATTGGCCTAATGTTGCACATTGTGTGCTGAGCCTGATCTTGTTTATTATGCAAGAAAGCTGCCAAAGTGAGCCAAAGCCGAGCGACACACCGATATACGAGTGCCGGAGCCAAACGGCAACAATCGCAGAAAGTAAATTTACAAAAATTTCAATCGAACAAAGTGCTGAAGCCTCTTGACCAGCGACAAGAGAAATGGGAAGTTATGGGGACATAACCGGGTTGTGTCGAAATGTTATCGCCATGATCGTTTTTGTAGATCGCAAATGGTTCCTTCTTTTAAAGCCTTAAATCGCAAATAATTGTATAAAAAATAAGAAAGGAAAAATATCAAAAACAGATTTAAATATTTAAAAATATAAAAGTATTTTCAATTGAAACTTACTTATATTTTTAAGATTTTCTTCAAGTATTTTTTAATTAGCTTACCCATTCCTCTCAATTAGAATCATATGCAAATTATAAGGTTCAGACAAAACCGTTAAAATATATGCCAGACAGCCGAAATTACCAAATAAAAATCCCAAATCTGAATTATAACTTAGAATAATTGAAAACTGGTTTTCTATTGTTCCAATATTAATGAGAGTAACAAATGTAAAACCATATTTCAAAGTAAAAATATATTATAAACGTCTCGTTTTGTTTTATTTTTTTCACATTTTTTTGTAGCCAATTAAACACTTGTTATATTTTTTGTTGCTTTTTAAATTCTGAAAAGGTTGCCATCACTTTCACATGCACACCACACTCTGTCCATATAAAGTGGCTAATTTTCGGGCCTGTATGATCATCACTCTTATGTGTATTACGCATACCTTTTGCTAATTTATGGCTTGTTTCACTAACTGGATGCACCTTGTTTTTTCCCTTTTATCATTATCGATCGATCGGCGAAGTAAACCCAAAAAAAATCACAGCTTTATCGCTGATAAAAATCACATTTAAAGGCAGTGCGCATGCCCAGTATCGTTAGTCGTGTGTTACTCGATATATTTAATGATAACTTCCGAATGGGCCATTTGTTATGTTTTCGGTTTCAGTTGGTTTCGAAAAGAACCGCCTGGAACCGTGGGGGAAAACGGTTGAGCGATTTAAATGGCTCCGCACAGCGCGCACTTTGAATTGCGACTGATCGCTGGAAGTCGGGGAGCCAAGGCGGAACGAGTGGAATGGAACGGGGAACGAGTGGAATGGCACACAGACTGAGGCGGCGGCACAGTCGCAAAGTGGGCGGCACAGCGCGTAGGCCTAAATGTTAATGCAATTTGCTTTATGCGCATATGGAACAACGCGATCGGAGCTCTTGAATTTTGTTTTTTTTTTTTTTTGGTAGGGTGTTTCAAATGGAGGAGTGGAGGCACAACAACTGACGCTGTTCTTTTGTGACATATGGATCTGGGTCGGGTCAAAAGGTAAGTGCTTAAAATGCTCTTTAATGCCGCACAAGCTAAAGCTGCCAACTTGTGGTCATTGCGGGTCCCTTTTTTGCGCTCCACTGGATGGATGATGGAGCCGAAAGTTGGGTAAGCGATGGATGGGGTAACCCCGATTCGAAAAGCATAAATAAAGAAGGTGTGCAAGGAACATTTAGGACGCAACAAAGTCTTAGGGGAGTTTAATCCACCAAGAAAGGAGATCCCATGATTTATTGAATTTCTTCTTGGTTCTTTTTTTTTTGTGTAAGAATATGTAAAGAGTTCACAAAAGATTGTCTCCATATTATTATATCTTAATTTAAGAGATTTGATCTTATTTTAATATTTAGCAAAATAATAGGCTATAATATTATACTTTTAACATTTTTGAAAATATATTTTTAACATGTAAATAAATATCTTTATAAGTATACTTTAATTCCACTTTATTGACTTTAGAGAAATTATATTTATATTATATTTTATAACCATATATATATATTATATTATTTTTTTATAATAATAGTTAATATTAAAAATTAAAATCCAAGTTTTGGTTAGTTTTTTCAGGAAATATATCTCCTCAAGTTTAAGATATATAATATTTATAGAGAAGACCTTGCTTTAATTCCACCACTCGATCATCCTTCAGTGCGACCGGACTTCCTCTCCCTAAAAGACACTCATATGGAGGTTCTGGTTCTTTCATGGGCAAGGTCGTCTTTCTTCCATCGAGATGGTTGCGGTTCAGTGGGATCGGAAGTGTTTTACTGCCGCTTGGCCAATGGCTAATGTTAATCCAAAGCCAAGACCAAGTCAACGTTGCAGAACTGCAAGTCTGATACAAATCAGAGCAGAAATCGCCCAGGAACCACTGCTATATAGTTATTACTTTGAAGACCATTCGAATCCACTGACTATTCTCAATCGGAGATGTATGGCGACGCATTCGAGCAGAATATGCATATGATTAGACCAAAATAAATAAGCTTACCTCAATCGCCGGATCCAGCCTCCATCAGAGAACAGGTTCGATTTTCAAATAATATTATTTTCGTATATATTTTTTTGCACTTTTTGCTGCTGTTGTTGCTGGGATTCTTTCGACTGCACCATAAACAAAATTATTTAATTTGCATATTAGAAATTTTTGTTTCTTTCGCTTTGCTTTGTTTTATTATGATTATTTGTTGCCGCTGCTGTTGTATTGTGTATATTTAATAATTCACTGCTAATATACTATACATATATTTTTGTTTTACCAAATTCACAAAAACAAAAAGGAGCAAAAAAAAAATTGGGCGAATTAGGTGAGTAATTCTCCGTTCATTAGCGAAAAATCTGTTGGCAAAAATATGTGATTTACCCGTGATAAATTTGATCAATTCATAAGTCACTTCACTTCACACCCGCCAGGTTTTTGAACGATTCTCCTGCCCGTTTTGGCCAGGCTAAAAGCGAGAAGAGGAAGTTCGTCAGCTTTGGCCGAAAGCGAAACACTGACTGACTGGCTGATAAAGACAGAGCTGTCTGGAGGCGAACCGAGCTGAGCCGAAAATCTAAAAGACCCAGACGAAGAAAACCGATCGTGGCCGAAACGACTGAAAGCCAGTGGAACGACCGAAAGCCAACTTGGCTTGGGTGGAAATGGAAAAGAAACACGACTCAGACTTTGAGGGGGAAAACTCTGGGGGCGGATAGGGGGGCAAAATATGCTAATCATAGGCCTCTGAAATATTAGGCCCTGGATTAGTCGGTGGGCGTTCGCAAAATCCAGCAGAAATAAGTCGGGCAGTTGAAGTGCAGCAATTGCAGCCATAAAGACTCATTAAGGGCCAGCCATGAATGTAAGTTACCAACACAGGATATTCGAAGATTTAAGTCCTCAGGTACTCCAAATAAACATGTTTTTTTTTCAATTCTGGATTTCAGTTTTTGACAAAAATATGGATTTTTTCTTTTAGTTTTTTTGCTGTAACTTGACCAAAAATGGTCCTACACCAAAAATACATACTGTTTTGAACAGACAACGAAATAGTAAATAAATCCATAAAACTTTCCGTGTGAATTTGGAAAAATAAAATTTTCCCCAATTTTCCATTTTTTTTATAAGGGGGTACCTCATGATTTTTTGCGAAAAATTAAAAATGAATAAATTGTCAAGGTTTAAATGCCAATCGTTAGGAAATTTAATAACGAGTTCAGAAAGGTATGACAATCCATACTTTGAATCAGTATTTGCTTTGTTATAGCGAAAAAACTACAACGTTTTAGCGAAAAAACGGGTTTTGTTTTTTTTTGGAAATTCGCGATTTCAGTTTTTGACAAAAATTGGAATTTTTTCTTTTGGTTTTTTTGCTGTAACTTGGCCAAAAATGGTCCTACACCAAAAATTCATACTGTTTTGAACAGATAACAAAATTTGCTATAAATCCGTAAAACTTTCCGTGTAATTTTGGAAAAATAAAATTTTCGCCAATTTTTAATTTTTTTATAAGGGGGGTACCCCATGATTTTTTGCGAAAAATTAAAAATGAATAAATTGTCAAGGCTTAAATGCCAATCGTTAGGAAATTTAATAACGAGTTCAGAAAGGTATGACAATCCATACTTTGAATCAGTATTTGCTTTGTTATAGCGAAAAAACTACAACGTTTTAGCGAAAAAACGGGGTTGGTTTTTTTTGGAAATTCGGGATTTCAGTTTTTGACAAAAATTGGAATTTTTTCTTTTGGTTTTTTTGCTGTAACTTGGCCAAAAATGGTCCTACACCAAAAATTCATACTGTTTTGAACAGATAACAAAATTTGCTATAAATTCATAAAACTTTCCGTGTAATTTTGGAAAAATAAAATTTTCGCCAATTTTTAATTTTTTTATAAGGGGGTACCCCATGATTTTTTGCGAAAAATTAAAAATGAATAAATTGTCAAGGTTTAAATGTCAATCGTTAGGAAATTTAATAACGAGTTCAGAAAGGTATGACAATCCATACTTTGAATCAGTATTTGCTTTGTTATAGCGAAAAAAGTGCAACGTTTTAGCGAAAAAACGGGTTTTGTTTTTTTTTGGAAATTCGCGATTTCAGTTTTTGACAAAAATTGGAATTTTTTCTTTTGGTTTTTTTGCTGTAACTTGGCCAAAAATGGTCCTACACCAAAAATTCGTACTGTTTTGAACAGATAACAAAATTTGCTATAAATCCGTAAAACTTTCCGTGTAATTTTGGAAAAATAAAATTTTCGCCAATTTTTAATTTTTTTATAAGGGGGTACCCCATGATTTTTTGCGAAAAATTAAAAATGAATAAATTGTCAAGGTTTAAATGCCAATCGTTAGGAAATTTAATAACGAGTTCAGAAAGGTATGACAATCCATACTTTGAATCAGTATTTGCTTTGTTATAGCGAAAAAACTACAACGTTTTAACGAAAAAACGGGGTTGGTTTTTTTTTGGAAATTCGGGATTTCAGTTTTTGACAAAAATTGGAATTTTTTCCTTTGGTTTTTTTGCTGTAACTTGGCCAAAAATGGTCCTACACCAAAAATTCATACTGTTTTGAACAGATAACAAAATTTGCTATAAATCCGTAAAACTTTCCGTGTAATTTTGGAAAAATAAAATTTTCGCCAATTTTTAATTTTTTTATAAGGGGGTACCCCATGATTTTTTGCGAAAAATTAAAAATGAATAAATTGTCAAGGCTTAAATGCCAATCGTTAGGAAATTTAATAACGAGTTCAGAAAGGTATGACAATCCATACTTTGAATCAGTATTTGCTTTGTTATAGCGAAAAAACTACAACGTTTTAGCGAAAAAACGGGGTTGGTTTTTTTTGGAAATTCGGGATTTCAGTTTTTGACAAAAATTGGAATTTTTTCTTTTGGTTTTTTTGCTGTAACTTGGCCAAAAATGGTCCTACACCAAAAATTCATACTGTTTTGAACAGATAACAAAATTTGCTATAAATTCATAAAACTTTCCGTGTAATTTTGGAAAAATAAAATTTTCGCCAATTTTAAATTTTTTTATAAGGGGGTACCCCATGATTTTTTGCGAAAAATTAAAAATGAATAAATTGTCAAGGTTTAAATGTCAATCGTTAGGAAATTTAATAACGAGTTCAGAAAGGTATGACAATCCATACTTTGAATCAGTATTTGCTTTGTTATAGCGAAAAAAGTGCAACGTTTTAGCGAAAAAACGGGTTTTGTTTTTTTTGGAAATTCGCGATTTCAGTTTTTGACAAAAATTGGAATTTTTTCTTTTGGTTTTTTTGCTGTAACTTGGCCAAAAATGGTCCTACACCAAAAATTCGTACTGTTTTGAACAGATAACAAAATTTGCTATAAATTCATAAAACTTTCCGTGTAATTTTGGAAAAATAAAATTTTCGCCAATTTTTAATTTTTTTATAAGGGGGTACCCCATGATTTTTTGCGAAAAATTAAAAATGAATAAATTGTCAAGGTTTAAATGCCAATCGTTAGGAAATTTAATAACGAGTTCAGAAAGGTATGACAATCCATACTTTGAATCAGTATTTGCTTTGTTATAGCGAAAAAAGTGCAACGTTTTAGCGAAAAAACGGGTTTTGTTTTTTTTTTGGAAATTCGCGATTTCAGTTTTTGACAAAAATTGGAATTTTTTCTTTTGGTTTTTTTGCTGTAACTTGGCCAAAAATGGTCCTA